GTACGACGGGTTCGTTCACCACCCTCATACCCTTACTCGTTTTCGTCTCTATTAGTATGGCGAAGGAAGGTTATGATGATTATAGAAGGTACGTATTGGATAAGACGGAGAACCTAGCCCCTGCGTGGGTTCTCGACCCCGACGGTACAGTCGAAAAGACGTCGAGTAAGAACTGGTTGGTAGGCATGATCAAGAGAAACCGTAGTAAGGAGCGGGAAGAAGAAGAGGGGATGGCAGAGCTGCAGGATATGGGCGAGAACCGGGAGCAATCTCCGTGGGCGACCATCCAATGGCAGAACATTCGAGTGGGCGACATTGTTCGGCTGCGGAGAGACGATAGCGTACCTGCGGATATCATTATCCTTCACGCGACCGGCCATAATGGAGTGGCATATATTGAAACGATGGCGCTTGACGGCGAGACAAATCTTAAGAGCAAGCAGGCCTCTTCTTTGCTCGCTAAGCATTGCGACACGATTGAAAAGTTGAAGAATTGTGAAGCTGAAATCGTATCCGAGGATCCTAATGCCGACCTTTATAAATTTGAGGGCCGTGCTACTCTCAACGGCGAGACTCGTCCGCTCACCATGAACGATGTCGTCTATCGAGGTTCGATTCTGCGGAATACTGACGAGTTGATCGGTTTGGTTATAAACACGGGCGAGGAATGCAAGATACGCATGAATGCGAACAAAGACGTCCGCGCCAAAGCTCCCAAGATGCAAGCTTTACTTAATAGGATTGTGTTTCTTCTTGTTTTGGTTGTCCTGGCCCTTACTATTGGCTGTATGGGTGGCTATTATGCATGGCGGAACGCCTACGAGAGAAATGCTTCGTATCTTCGTGGTGCCGGTGTGCCTTTCGAGCAAATCTGGTTCGGTTTCATTATTGCCTTCAATACCCTCATCCCGCTGTCCCTGTATGTAAGTCTCGAGATCATCAAGGTCGGGCAATTTTTCCTACTGGGTGATGTGGAGATGTACGATCCCGAAACCGATACGCCTATGGTTGTCAATACGACCACCATCTTAGAAAACCTGGGCCAGGTCAACTATATCTTCTCGGACAAAACTGGGACTCTGACAGAGAACAAGATGCGATTTCGAAAACTCAGCGTTGCGGGGACAGCTTGGTTGCATGACATGGATATCAAGCGAGATCAGCTGGAATACGAAGCGAAGATATCCAAGATGAAAATCAAGAGTCCAAACCGGCGCATCGATGGCGAGCCAGATACGAATGCGATATCCGATAGGGATGAACGTATCGAGACTCCGCTAATTCATAACCAGGATCAGTCTGCCTGGGCGTCAAAAGCTCAGTCGGGACATTCTCCGCCTATACCCAAGACGGAAGCCTTGATCGATTATATTCGACGATACCCGAATACGATCTTTTCAAAAAAGGTCCGGCATTTTCTCCTCTGCGTGGCACTATGTCATACTTGCTTGCCGGAAGTCAAAGAGGACGGTGAAATCGCTTTCCAAGCTGCGTCCCCGGACGAGCTCGCTTTGGTGCAGGCAGCTCGCGATCTAGGGTACCTCCTCATTGATCGACCAACGCAGTCTATCAAGCTCCAACATCAAAGTCCCGAAGGAGAACTTCTCACCGAGACGTATGAGGTACTGGACGTGATCGAGTTCAGCAGTAAACGGAAGCGGATGTCAATTATCATACGCATGCCTGATAACAAAATTTGCGTGTTTTGTAAAGGCGCCGATAATGTCATCATCGCCCTTTTGCGAAACGCGCTCCTGGCTAAGCAGAAAGCGTCCACCGTGGAACGGAGAGCTAGCAAACGGAAAAGTGTAGAAGTCGAGAGGGCTATGAGCCGTCTAAGCGGGACGTATAGCCCTAGAAATAGCCTAAGCATAAGCAAGCGTAATAGCGTCTTCCGAAAAGGCAGTCGACGTAAATCTGCCGAAGCGAATCGCCGCTCAGCCGTTTCGGATGATCTCGACACCTGGCTGACGAGGCGCGAGACGTTGGATTTAGAGGATGCACCAATATACGATATGGATGCTGGTACTGGTACTCCCCGGCGGTCTATAGCTCTCTCCCCCGTATTGGTTACAGGGGATAGCGAGGCTTACGATGGAGTTGTAGACGAGGTTATAGCCGCCGATGATGGTGCTATCTTTGAGCGGTGCTTCCAGCACATTGGCGAATTTGCCTCAGAAGGCTTGAGAACCCTCCTTTTTGCTTATCGTTACATCGGCGACGAGGAGTATGAAGAGTGGAAGGATAACTATAGAGCCGCTACTACGAGTCTGGTGAATAGGCAATCACTCATCGAGAAAGCGGCCGAACTTATCGAGAAGGATTTTAGTCTTGCCGGTGCTTCTGCTATCGAAGACAAACTCCAACAGGGGGTCCCCGAGACGATCGAGAAGCTTCGTAGGGCAAATATCAAGGTTTGGATGCTGACTGGGGATAAACGCGAAACGGCAATCAATATTGCGCATTCCGCTAAGTTGGCCAAGCCCTTTTCAGAAATCTACATCCTCGAGGCGTCCGCGGACGAGTCGGAAGAGTCCGAGGTGCTGCGCAAATTGAAGGACAAGATAGAGTCCATCTTGGTTGATGTCACTCGTGGCATGATAGCTCATTCCGTCTTGGTCGTCGACGGGCACACCTTAGGTGAGATCGAAAAGGGCGAAGCTTTGAAGATAATGTTTTACGATCTCGCCGTTCGTATGGATTCTGTCATCTGCTGCCGAGCTTCGCCGTCTCAAAAAGCAGGGCTGGTGCGATGCATCCGGGAAACGGTACCATCCTCGTTGACATTGGCCATCGGTGACGGATCGAACGACATTGCCATGATCCAAGAATCCCACGTAGGAATAGGCATATCTGGTCGTGAAGGCCTCCAGGCCGCCCGCGTTGCTGATTATTCTATCGCTCAGTTCAGATTCCTTCAACGACTTCTTCTCGTCCACGGCCGATGGATGTACTTGCGCACCGCAAAATACATACTTGCAACGTTCTGGAAAGAGCTGGTATTCTACATCATTCAAGCCCAGTATCAACATTGGAACGGCTATACGGGCACGTCGATCTACGAGTCGTGGAGTTTGACTGTGTTTAACGCACTCTTTACATCTCTACCTGTCATCCTGCTCGGTATGTTCGAGAAAGATCTCAAGGCGGAGACCCTACTCGCCATCCCCGAGCTCTATTCGTTCGGTCAGCGGAGCGAGGCGTTCAACCTCAAGAAGTATGTGGCGTGGATGTTCACGGGCGCGGTAGACACGGTCGTCATCTATATGATGGTCTGGGGCTACTTTAAGGATATCCTGTTCACGGAGAACAATTCGCTCTTCCCGCTCGGACAGCTAGCATTTACCATCGCCGTGGTATTAATCAATATCAAGATTCTGTAAGTTGCTAGGTGCTCGGCTAATTTGCCCTCTTCCTTTTTTTCTAACGGATTGCCATTTAGGATATTGGAGTGCCATCACAAAACAGTGATCACATTTGTCGGGTTTGCCCTTTCAATCGTAGGTTGGTTTCTCTGGAATTTACTTATTGGAGCAATCCATCCCGTGGAATTTGGCCCGTACGTTGTGCGCGGCTCTTTTGTGAACGAGTTCGGGAACAAGCTAGGTTGGTGGGCGGCGGCCGGTGCTACGATAGCTGCTGTAGTTGCATTCGAACTTGGCCTTACGGCGTTCCAACGAATTTACTACCCGCGAGACCAAGATATCTGGCAGGAGATCGAGCGCCAGGGGGGAGTTTCGGAAGTTTTGAAAGAGCACGCAGCTGAGGAGGGTCGCGTAGCCTCTCGTTTGGGAGATCCGGAAGGCCAAAGCAGTAACAATGATGACGATTCAGAGCAGGGGCGGCCTCTAAGCCCTATCGTAAGCGAAGGTGCATCGAACAGGAATAGATTTTACGACTTATTTACGCCGTCCAGCTCGGCGCAGCGAAGTCCAAGGTCCCCGGGTGGCGCTGGTGCGTATGGGCCGGCGACTCATAAAGGGAAACGAGTAGAGACGGCATGATTAGAAACGGATTAGTCGGAAGTGTTTTTTTTGGGTTTAAGGGATTGGCGGACGAGCCCTATAAGGTTGTGTTCTTGGATTGGGCTAGCCGGCGTTTGGGCTTGAAAAGGGAAGTTTTCTAGCATTATAGCATATGGATTGCAATAGGGTCATTGGCCGGGACAGAAAGCAAGGGGGGATTTTGGCTTAGACTATAGATACCCCGGAAGCGATATGAGCACAGCTACGTGTATTAAATATACGGAATATTTACTACTGACCTTTCCATCCTGTGTTGTATGACTTGTAGAGACTTGCTTTGGCGGGTATAGACTATAATTTGTATGTTAATGCCTGTTACGAGATAGTGAAGAGTGGTCGGTATTTGAACTTCTCTAATATCTGTTAGGTATGACTATGCATGTTGAGGAATTCACCTTGTGGACTGGGACAGGCGTGCTCGAAACCAATAAGCTGAGAGCGAATACGAGTATAAAGTCTACTGTGAATAGCGCGGGACTATCGGATAAGTGGATCGACTAGGGTCTGGATACCTACTAGCCTTCAGGCTTCAGATCCTTTAATGTATCGAAGCAACGGAGGGGTCGCCATGATATATGCGTTTGGTTGGGAAATATTCCACTCGGCTTTCGGCGGTGTGGAATAGGAAGCGGGATCTGGACTTTTGGTGGGATCCGGTAGCTGTTGATTGAGCTGGGGAAATATCATGGGTCCGACGCTGATTTTTATGGTAAACCTGGGACGTGAAATGTCGTTGGATGGCAGAAATAGTATCTAGTGTTTTCAATTTACGTTCACTTTACGTTGTCTTTTGTTATAGTATTTGGTCCTCGGTTTTTGTTATGTCCTACTAGGGAGCAGTTAGCCTATTGAACGTTGCTGTTAGGCTCGTCTAGCGATATTTCGCTTTTGTAGATGAAGAGGCCTTTTTAGTGATAACAGGGGTTCGTGTCAGGGGTTGCATTGCCGGTTTCTGTATGTTACAGCCTACCCATCTAAGCTTTTCTATCCTCTCCTGTTTCAATTAACTTGGATACGCCCTACCAATACTGATGTCTATAACTTCAGTGTCTTGATATAATACAGTGTATGAAGTGCGGGAATGGCAATTCAGAAGATTACAGGTTTTGAGGCTCTTCCGAAGAAGACTTTCGGAGCTCGACGGCCCCATCAGGATGAGACTTCCATACAGAAACACCACCCACCTACAACTATCGAACAACAAAATGAGAAGTTGGTACGACTTCTAGAATGGGAGAATCTCCGTAAGTTTTCAGTGCATACGAAATATGAAATTGAAGTCATGTTGCTGACTCGACTATACAGCTCCTTGGAAACAGTGAGTGACCCGCGTCGGAATCACGGGGTTTAGTGCTTACTCGCTATGAAATCAGGCGCGGTTGTGAGCACCTACGGACTGGATATCGACCGGAGTGCGCTTCATTATGGTCGTGCCTGCGTAGCTGGTTCTATCTACACAATGAGACAGGTCTGGCGGTTGGCCTAGTAGAAACTGGTGCCATTGCTGATAGGTAGTAGTTAATATTTTCACCCACGTAATCGGCGCGGTTATTTTCCTAGCTTTACCCCTATATGTCTTTAGGACTGAGATCCCACCACGTTATAAAGTGGCGACTACGGCCGATATCCTAGTCTGCAGTATATACTTCCTGGGGGTCGGCGTCTGCTTCACACTCTCGACTATGTTAGTCTACTCGCGAAGAACATGTGAGGATAAAACACCTAACTGAAGCTTAGGTTTCACACTTTTATGTGTCATAGCGAAGCCGCGTGCTCCCTTGGCGTCAAGCTGGATTACCAAGGCATCATACTATTGATATGGGGAGCAAATATAGCTCTTATCTATTACAGCATGCCCTGCGACTTGGGAAGTAAGATCGCCTATTGGACCTTTAACACTATCCTCGCTGGAATCTGTTCGTATGCGACGTTCCACCCGTCGATAGGTGGAGCGCAAACGGGACGTGCGCGTGCTGTACTCTTTGCTACGTTTGGGTTTTGCGCGGTTGTCGCTCCGAACTTAATTGGGCTATTGAAACACGGGTTCGATGAACAGAGTCGTCGGGTTGGGCTTAATTGGATAGCGGCTACGACTTTGTTCAATGGCACGGGCGTAGTAGTATATGCTGCTAAGGTCAGTAATAGTTCGTGCTGGGAGATGATTGTTCATTAACAGGTATGCAGTTCCCGGAACGGTGGTATCCTCGAGTGTTCGACATATTCGGTGCGAGTCATCAGATCATGCATGTGATGGCAGTGTCGGCAGCCCTTGCATTTGCGAAGGCTATGTTGCAAGCCTTTGATCTTCACCACCAAAATCCCCGAGTATGTACGGGGGACGCATCTCATTTATATCTAACGTAGATCTGCCATGCTGCCATATATAATGCTTATGAGGCCAACCTAAAGTCCAGCCTCTTGTTCCCGACGTCTTGGTGGTCGGCAAGGTAGACCAGCTTTTCCTCAGGAGTCATAGCATCCCATTCGCGCTCTCTCACGCGGTTCCTCCGGATATAATATGCCTTTGCTAGAACATAGAGCACCAAGTTTAGACACAAGATTCCGATTAGTATGCTATTTCCTCATCTGTATAGTGGTGCGTCGTCTGCTCGGTAGATGTTCGAAGAAATGATTACTCCTGCTTGAAGGAACATATTGTATGGGACCCACCGATCAGGTCCAAGCCATTTCGCTAGGAGTTGTGCAGGGAGTTCTCCAGCTAGGAAGAACAGCGCGTATAGGGCATTCCCCAAGTTATAGTCTTTCTCGACATCAGTCCCAGAAACTACGTCAAACGTATGCAGAACGAGGTTACATACCGTTTGTGCTTAGGTTGAGATCATCCAGGAAGTTGTCGGTTAGGGATTGCGCCAGGTTGGCCCTATCTACCTCCATGGCCGTGAACATTATTGCTGTCCAGGTCATGATACGCCGGTCAATCTTCCGGACGACTTTATTTTCTTCTCTCCAAGTTCATCGTGCTCTCGTATCAAACCGATGTAAGTTTTCCCTATATCCTGTCAACAAGAACTTAGATTTAACCGAAAGGTCCTATTACCAGTCATCACGAGGCTTATATTGAAGTGCCGCATCGGGGTTGTCGTAGACGCTCGGCTGTTATCATCAGTACACGCGGTTACTTAAGGCTGTGTTATATTGATATACCTGAGTTGCAACATTGTCGAGGCTACACTGTTTAACCTTCTGAAACCAGAACTTCTTCGTGACCTCGGGTTTCGCTAACGGATGAACTACTTCTGCTATCCTCCCTTCACTAGGTTCCCGTTCGCCATCGTCGGCTAAGATTGATTTTTCAGATATCTCTACTGGGATGACAGTAGCCATTGTAAGTTTGAGGCTCGAAGTTGAGAGTAGTCAGGCCCTCGATGTAAGACTGGTACCTGGGTAATCTTGAACACAGGAGTTTTGATAAGAGTTACCCCGGATTCATATGTACCCCAATATTCTCATTACTACGCTTAACTCGGAGATACACATTAGAAATTCCATTACCCATTCTGGAGCTGAGGCTGTGCCGCTTTAAGAGCTGATAGGAGAGTTAAATTGTTCAATATCATACACGACTATCGAGTATTAGCAGCATTACCTAACGCATCTGACTTCCAGACCTTAGTAGCAAGTGAGATGGTCACCCCCTTACCCACGACATGCGAGTATTCATTAATATAACATTAAGAGGGTTTTAATCACCTGTATCGTAAGTATCTAGCTAGCAGTATATCGCATATTCGCTGTCAGCATCCTAGGTATATGAGAATGCGGGGTAAAGGGGCAAGATCCGGCAGAGGTAAATAGCTGCAGGTTGGTTACTTGCGGTGCCGCATACAGCTACATATCTTTCCTTGTTCGTCAATACTGAGATCCGAAAGAGGATCATACCCTAACTCTTGTACCTAACACAACTATAATATTCTAAGAGCTGATGAGAACATATGATGATCAAGTTTTAGATCAACTGTCGGATGCTACATAGTTGAAGAATACCTAGCGTACATCACTGTCGAGTAATTCCAGGATTTGACCCAGAACTTGGATAGTAACTATGAAAATCTTGTCTTCTCTCCTTTTTTCATGTTTGGCCTATGGAACAGCAACATTTGGACCAGCCAATCAAAAACCAATAACCCTTACAAATGGCTGGACTGGACAACAACCACAATCACGACCTAATATTGTATTCATCCTCACCGATGACCAAGACTTACATTTAAACTCGATTGAGTATATGCCATTCTTAAAAAAACATATAATTGAGCATGGCACTTTCTACAAGAGACACTTTTGCACGACTGCGCTCTGCTGCCCTTCTCGCACGACTATATTCACCGGTAAAAATGCCCATAATACGAATGTTACCAACGTGGTTCCACCGTACGGTATGAAAACTCAGACCGAAGTCCTAAATCCTGCTTACCTGCCTTAGGTGGTTACCCTAAGTTTATTAGCCAGGGGTTGAACGATAAATATCTTCCAGTTTGGCTCCAGGAGTCGGGCTATGAAACATATTATACGGGAAAGCTTTTTAATGCACACTCGGTTGATAATTACCATTCGCCTCATGCTGCTGGCTGGACTGCTTCTGTAAGTTTCAAGTCTTGACCGCAATCTCTGGGCTATGTGCTAATTATTGAAAGGATTTTCTGTTGGATCCATTCACATATTGGTATATGAATAGTACATATCAGAGAAACCAAGACGCGCCAGTGAGCTTCGAAGGGCAGCATAGCGTCGATGTTCTTGCGGCAAAAGCACTGGGCCTATTAGATGAAGCGTTCGAAACCGGGAAGCCTTTCTTTCTTGGTGTTGCTCCGGTCAGTCCTCATGCAAATATATGGGCTCCTAATTTCAAGGATGGTGGCCATAGCGACTTAGAGAAGGTCGAGTTTTCGCCGCCGGTGCCAGCTGAGAGGCATGCCAACCTATTCGAAGGTGCTAAGGTCCCGCGGACCGAGAATTTCAACCCGGACAAACCATCAGGTGCCAGTTGGATTCGGAAGTTACCGAAGCAGAGCCTGGAAACGGTTGACTATAACGACCATTTCTACCTTCAGAGGCTTCGAGCCCTCCAGAGCGTCGACTAAATTGTAGATTCGCTTGTTCGGCGCCTGGACGACCTCAAAATTCTAGACAATACATATATAGTCTACTCGACAGATAATGGTTATCACATCGGTCAGCATCGGATGCAACCTGCAAAGCAGTGCAGCTTCGAAGAAGACATCAATATTCCGCTTATCATTCGAGGACCTGGAGTCCCGAAAAATGTGAATAGCGATATTGTAACCACACATACAGATTTGGCGCCTGCCTTTTTAGACATAGCAGGCGCTCCTATGAGGGATGATTTCGACGGACTTGCCATCCCGCTTACTGAGGAAAGCCTCACGGAAGCTAAGGAGACGCGCCATGAGCATGCTTCAATAGAACACTGGGGATTCGCCTCAAACGAGGGGCAGGTACTAGATTCGTACCCGAGACTGCACACGAACAACACTTATAAAGCTCTTCGTGTCATTAGCAAGACGTACAACCTACATTACCAGGTGTGGTGCAACAACGAGCGAGAGCTACACGACCTAACAACAGATCCAGGCCAAATGATCAATCTCCTACACCCTGACGAGGACGCCCCAGAAACCATAGCTGGAGCACCCCTCGATAAGGTTGTCGCTAGACTGGACTCTTTACTCTTTGTCTTGAAGTCATGTAAGGCAGAGACCTGTATCTACCCATGGAAGGCACTTCACCCGGCTGGTAATGTTGCTAGTCTGAAAGATGCGCTTTCCCCTCGGTTCGATGCCTTCTATGACGACAAGTCGAGAAAGATCGAGTTTGATAGATGCGAGATGGGTTTCATACTTGATGCTGAGGGGCCGCAGTTTGAGCACGAGAGCATTCTCTCCAGTCTCGATCCGAACTGGCATGAGTGGACCTAGTTCCTTCAGAGTAATGCGGGGGTTACTTTGACACTTGAATAAGACGGCGTTAACCATGTCTTGCGGGTATTTAGGGTTAGATAAGTGGCGGTATAATCTATTACTACGATAGAAAACAACATACACTAGGTCAAGAAGCGCAACAGTGTATATAATTGGGTAACCATTCACCGTTCCTAGTAGTTCTCAGAGAATGAAGTAGTCGTGACCGGCCGCCGACTTAATTCTTAACCATATTAAAACTGGACTCCTATAAGCTAGGGAGTGTGCCGATAAGATAAACTACTAAACTTATATACTTGAAATAATATTTGTCTCATGATCATTGAACCCCTATTTACACCATAGTAGTGGCCAGGGTTAGGAGAAGTCCCAGCTTGTCGCAGCTTGCATACCATCTGTTCAGCTCTTGGCCGCGGTCTGAGTTATGAGGACTTGATCGAGCATCTATTAGATCTCCAAAGGTCCGCAGCGACGACCTATTCCGCTCAAGATGAATTACGCGGGCAGTTTCCCACTGGGCTCGTGTCCTAGCACTCCAAAGCGAGTCCGGGGAGGGAAGAGGGAGCGCGCGGTAATTACTGATGCTGGGACACATAACCCCAAACTTAAGGTCTATCACGCGACTCAAAAGGAACCAAGTGACGGCACATCTAAATCACAGTTAGAAGACACCAGGTCCCATCCGAAAAGGTTAGCTAAGCATACCTTCGCCGCGACTCGGTGTAAACCCACTCTTCCCACGTCATGCTAGGATTATCGAAGTCGCTGACGGGGAACCATATCATTGAATCGAATTCTCTGCTCCTTTTCCCATAAAGCTGTTCAAATTAGTACACATACTTCATACATAGGAGCCATAACCTACGTCAAATGTCATGAGCATCTGTAGACGGATCTCAGGCACTTCTGGTGTGGCGTTATTATCTAGAGCGAACATGATCATATATATAATCTGCGCGTGCATCGACGAGATGAGATCGTTAAACGAGCATGTTGGTAGGATACGGAGAAGCCGCCGATTTTCTTCATTTATCAACGACCATACGGATTCTTTCGTGGGGTCCTGGCGCCTGTTATACAAGTTCACTAGTGCTGAGCATTTGGCGATGTCGCGAGGAAGCTCGGGTTGAAACCAATAGCCATGACTATACCACGAGAAGCTCTCTCTACTGAGCATCGTGAGTGGCAGCCCTCGCATGGTTTCCAGGATGAATTTGGCGCTATGCCAAGCAACTGGATCGGTACGAAGCTCGATCAGGGACCGAGGCGACGTAGTAGGTAGCTCGAGGCTCGTGGAAGCGCCAAAGTGGTATGCGAGCGAATTGCATTCCGTATTATCATAATTTTCTGTCGATCCAGATACGGTATTACGGGTGCCGTTTTTAGGGCCAGCGCCACGCGAAGGAGTAAAAGAGGTCTCGTAGACACAATATAGACCCTTGGCATTACATCGCGAACACTCGGTCTCGAAACTACACTTCGCCTTTGCAGAGTGACATTCCTTACAAGAGCGAGGTCGTTTCTTAGGGCGACTTTGAGCTTTGCGGCAGTAGGCGATGTGCCGCTTATAAGCGGATTCTAGGGGATATAATCAATACTATACTCCGGCCGGAGTTAAAGGAGAAGTCGGCTAACCTGTGGAGATGGGTTTGTTGCACAAGTTGCAGAAATGTATAGAATCTAACGGTGTGGCGTTGACTGACATTTTGGAAATACTTGTGTAAGAGGAATGAAGGTATTTAGATAATATTTTCGGTCTCTATTCATAACCTATCAAAGTTATTAATAGGAGGTACCGAAGGTTTACGCCTCCGATGCTTAATTTGTCAGCATCGCCGGGTCTCCACTTAATTCCGGTAGTCTGGTTGGTGTTGGATTACGGCGACGACCTTTCTTTTGATTGGATGCGCTACAACTATCTTCTCCGAGTATACCGGGATAGACGGCACATCACTATAGGCCGTAGCAACCTCGAGCAAGGCTATGGTGTACCTCCTCGCATGTATGCTTGCATGCGTATGGAGTGATGCAGAAGCGGCATCAATATGGGTGGAAATAGTGGCTGAGACGACGTGAGATAGCTGCGAAATTTGAAGAGTCTGTGAGGATTCTAGATGAGACATTAAAACAAAGGACACAGTCTCTTCCACATGATCAACTTAGCAGTTAGAAATACTAAATTAGAACGAGTCTAGGATAGATTTGCGTTACCTTGCGGAAACTGGTCTCGAGCTGCACTCAATAACCATCTTATCCGACGGCCTTCCGATTACCTCCTTGAAACCATGAAAGTCCTAGTAAATCGTTCGGGCATTAGATGGCTCTTGAGACCTAGGACCAAGTAATTGATGCGCCTGAAGGTGTGCTCATTACCAAGTCTGGCTGCTGTGATAGTTCAGCACAGCAAAGTGAAGGACAAACAGGTCTTTATCTGCCCCCTGATTTGTGGACGTTGTATTGCTAAGAATGCCATTAGGTACTCACACAAAATACCTCTTATATTATTACATAGTATAAGGGGCACATTTTAGGGTTGAACTTGAGGACATGGTATCATATTATCCTCGAACGATTAAGCTTAGCCAAACATAACAAGGAGTCGTGCTTGATGAAGCTAAAGAACGACGATTCGACCATTTGACGTTCGATACCCCTCACAGTGCGACTTGCATCTTCCAAACATCCCAGCCCCCATCTGTGCCCAAACGAAGCATAAGAACAGGTGCCTTGGCAGCTTGGTCTTTGGTAGGTAAAGAAGCTCTTATTCTCTAAGTGTATTGAGAGCTGTTACTACAATATAGTCTTGTATTAGTAGATCTCCGTAATTTAATCACTCCTCTACAAGTTTTGTAGTCTTAATTCCTAGCCGTCACGTCTTTTTTTACCATTGACGCGTTGCCTAACATCCAACCTCGAAGCAGGGATTCTAGGCGTTTGCTGGTCAATTGACAAGTCAACGAGCAGAAATGCAGCAGGCTGGGATAGAGCTGTTCGACCAGCGCAGCCCTACCTATAAGTTGCTTCATTAATCATGCTGTCGTGACGTAATATTGTCCAAATCCTCAGCCTCATTCGTCGGCATTGGCCCTGTCAAAGCTTCAAACTCTTAGCGGCTAGATCTACGGTGCGTTAGCGCCTAGAAACTTGCGGTCAAGTACACCTTTCTAGGTCTTTGATAGGTCCTTCACAGGCCCCCTGCAGGCTTCAAGTTCAAGAAATGGAGTCAACGGTTGACGTGTAAGTCACATAACCTATATATCAAAGACGCAAGCCTGCAGAGCCGTGATCCGATCTGAGGAGAACTTGTATATTAAGGTCTCGCCGCTGCTCTTATCCCTTTACCGCTAAATCTCTTGTCAATCCCTAGATCCTCTTGGAAACATACTTGGTGCTCCTCTACGATAGAACAGCAATACTGCTTCTAATACAGTTTAATCCGATAACACAGCTACTCATTAGCAATGGCTCGAACTAGCGGATCACGCTTTGGGCTCCCTCCCTTCTTCCTCATTAGCAATGCGTTAATTTGGATTTCGGCCGTTATTGTCATGGGAATTATCTCCTACTTCATCTCTCTAAACAACTATGTTCCCGGTCGTATCATTTACGAAGAAGTTATCGTAAGTCCCAGCAATCTTCTAGTTCTGGGTTCAAACCAACTAACGCGAGCAACTCAATAGTCTGTTCTCACCGTTGCCTTCTTCCTGGTCTCTTTCATTATCGGCTCGTATCCGGGTTCTATTCTTATATTCAACGTCATATTCTCCTACCTCTGGCTAGTCGCAGTTGTCTTTACGGCTGAGGATTGGTCATCCGACTATGCTGGCGAGCTTGCTCATACTGTCGAGGCCTTTAGCTTCATTGCATTGTATGTCCCATCCGAAATAAGCCCCTGGGTCGATACTGACTTATAACCTAGCTTCTTCCTATTCTTCAATGTTGTCTTCGACTGGCACTACGGCTTCCGTGGACATGTACGCAGCACCTCAGCTGTGTAATCCAATGCAAAGAATTAATGAGATATGAGAGACAATTTGTGAATGATTTATGGGATTATCGAGTTTGCAAGTCTTGCGATGAGGGTTACGTGTTCGGGATAGGGAAAAGAGGAGCAGGCGCATCTTCCAAGTTGATTGCACGACTTAATGACTTTACAGCTATGAATACCCAGGTTATAAATATTATTATAGATACTTAGTTCTGAGAAATAACAAACGTTTCCGGTGTCGTAGTTGAAACAGATCTATACGGGGCTCGAAGTTGACTATTGCTATAGACTACAACTAGCATCTATGTCAATACACATCATAATCCATGGTAAATGGTTTAAAACGAATTCTTTTATTTTTGCGTAACTCAACGTCCAAAGTTATCATTCTACACTAAGACTATTTGAATCTATATATCGACCCCGCATACTTCTGAGCGTTCTACCTCCATGAGTAGGATCTCCTACTTCTTCAGCCCAATGTACACTGCACTTAACAGGGCTTGCAGGAGTGGGCTTGTGAGGAAACTCGGGTATTTCGATGCAAGGGACCCTTTTCGCACCCAAGTCTTGAATAGGGGGGCAGGCATAGTGTAAACCGGCGTTGATTAGTTTCTCGCTACGGAATTTATAACGAGATTGGAACCGGCTATCAACGTGCGGGAAGTCCGAATCGTAGGTCTCTGTCCATAGGCCACCTTTACGTTTCTCCTCTCGAACTCTTTCGTCAACTTCCACAACATAGGAGACAGCTTTTTCTGAAGCTTTACGATCAGCGGGGGTAGTGCCAATTGTTTTCGATGCGAGGCGATACGCATTTTGGGCCTCTTGATATCTCTTCATAATCCATAGAACATGGCCCTTGTAAAGGTAACAGGTCGCAACAGGAGGAGACTCACAGGCATCTGGGTCGCTGGCGATGATTAAGGCATCTTGTACCGCGGTGAGGGCATCGTCGAGGTCAAATTCGGATGGGCTCTTCCGGTAGTTGTCAAGCAAAGCGCGGCAATCCCGAAGGAGCGAATTTACATGATCCTTATTCTTAACTTTTTCGGTTGTCGTGATGCCAAAGTCTGGCATCTTTATGTTAGATGCAGCCATATCTCTAGAGTTAATAGTCTTTTCTGTCAGTGGAAGGTATATTAGAATTTAGATATTAGCTGAATCGGATTGGTTGGTGTCTAAATATCAAATTAATAGCATTGTTCTAAGGATCTATCCTCTTCCATTGTTTCAATAGCCAACAATGTTTCTTTCATAATCTAAACCAAGACCACGAGAAGCGGATAAAGATGAATAAGATTTTTCTAGTCACAATTCCTGTCTTCATATCCTATGTTAATTTCTGTCCTTTGTGAACCCGATCTTTCTAACGAATACAACATCATAGCATCTTGAAAGGGATTGTTGTTGCGAGCGAACTGAGGAAGAGCACCAAGAACTTCGGGGTTAATGGTGCCAGGTGAGAACGCCGTTATACCCGTGTATAGCGTGCCGATAGTGGGAAACTCGAATAGACGATGCCAAGGCCAATTAATATTCATGTTATGCATAACATCTAAGACTTGTAAGATCACGAAGGTATCCGAGACCTCGATCCGACTGCCAAGCTACCTGTCATACCCTCGTACGCACAGTAGCTGCGCACGTAAAGGGATGCCAAGGCGGTGCGGGTGGTTGGGAATACGTTTGACTGTACTCGACGGAACGGTCCCGCGTAACCGGCTTTTACTCCCCTCATTTATAAACCTCTGGACAATCAGCTACTTGCCTCGGCCGAGGGGTGCCCCTGGACCCCCAAATTCCCCGTGGGAACCCCGTACTCTACTTACCAATGGACGTATCTCCAATCATTAACTCCGCACCCCGAGAAACCGGGTGGCGGCCAAGGGGTTCAGATAACGAACTTGTGCGACATGCTTATGGACGGCAAGATACCCCGTGCGGCTTTTATAAGTCTAGACTGTACCTTCATGCATATAATGGCGCCCTAGGTAGACATTTACCTGCTACCCAAACTTTGGGGCTCCGGTATTCAGAAACTCGACAATCACAGAACGGGTAAAAATAGAGTATTGTTATTCATCCAGGTTAAGATCAGTTCTGATGGGTGACCAAATGACAGTTACCGCTCTTGCGGATATCATCAGGACGCAAGCTGAGATTCTCGAGACTAGCCTGCCGCGTCATGCTTACACGGACTACCATGGGGATAAAAGCCTCAGCATCGCGAGGTCGAAACTGCTCGAAGCCTGCGACAAGTTGAACCATCTGGTGACTGGTCCTATTGAATGGTTAGTACGATGAAGGGGAATTATAGAGCATTGCTTTTACACCCATGATCATATTCCGTCTTTATCTACGGAATTACTTGGCTAACTTATCCTTAGTATGTCTCAACAAATCGCGGACTCATTGGCCGATGGTATTCTCGCACAGGGAACACTATAACTAACCTCTAGTAGATGTAATGGGCATCGCGCAAGGTCACCGTGTCCACGCAGCACTACAGTATGTTTGTCACTTCCGGTTAGCATCTTTCGTCCCTGCGGACGGCACGCCCATCACATACGAGGACCTAGCTCAGGCAGGCGGCGTTGATACCTCGCAGTGCACGAGAGTGTTACAGCTCCTAATGACGTACCACATCTTCCGCGAACCAGGTACCCGTATCGTCGCGCATAACCGCAACTCCCGCGTTCTGCTCGACGAGGACACCGGTGCTGCCGTCGAATGGCTGACCCAGGAGTCTCTTCGGTCTAGCGCTTTCTTCACCGAGACCCGGGCTATGAGCCGAAGATGGTCTACTGGTACGGCTGGTGCTGGTAGTAATGATATTGCCGCTCCCGCTACTATTCAAGGTGTGATGAATAGTGCTCAACAACAGACGGTACTTGACCTCGCGTGTACTGATATTGAACAACCCACGGCCGGTTTCCTCGCGCAGCAGCGTATGAATACCGAGACCTCTATGAAAGCAGACCGGTACGCGCGTGCGATGGCGGGTATGGCCAAGCGGCGACAGCTCAGTGCGGATCACCTGGTATCTGGATATGATTGGGATGCGCTTCCGCCTGGCTCAACCGTCGTCGACGTGGGTGGGGGGAGCGGACACTGCTCGAAAGCAATCGCGTCCTATAACCCTACGCTGAACTTCGTCGTACAGGATTCAAACACGGCTCTCGCCGAGGAGGTCGACGTAGGGGAGTTAGGGGACCGCCTAAAGTTTATGGCATACGACTTCTTCAAGCCACAGACCGTTCCGGGAGATGTCTACCTCTTGAGGCGCATATTGCACCACTACTCAGACCAAGATGCAGTGCGTATCTTGCAAGCGCAGCTGTGTGGTGCAAGAAGTAAGCCTGATGCCAGAATCGTGGTCATGGATAATATTGCGATACACAGCGGTACGCTGAGTACGCTTGAAGAACGTAAAACCAGGTATGATGCCTTGCCCAGCATAAGCCGCTAAGCTAATATTGTCTCCTTAGGACCCTTGATATTGCGATGATGGCTCTCTTCAATAGCGTAGAGCGTAATCTCGACGACTGGAAAGAACTATTCAAGATGGCCGACCCGAAGTTGAAACTTGTCAAAGTCACGAAGCCGCTCGGAAGTGCTCTGGCTGTGATGGAGCTTTGGTTGGAGCAGACCTAGTTTCTCCTTGTCCCATACAAACTTGTTTCCTTGGTGCTATCTTTAGGCGTGGGAGTATATGTTATTGATACAAGGTATGGATGTCTACATACTCGAGGTCGGGAACTAAGTTCTTTCCATGGGAACACTCGGATTGATTCAAATGGTATTAATGTCTACTTCGTCCTATATTAACAGTTAAGCAACTAACGATTGACCCTGTTTGCTATTGACTCTGAAAGGGCTTTAAAAAGATTTGTCGCCCAGTATGCTCCGCTTACCTGTCTAGATAACCGCTTTAGACTTATGTACGTGTTTAACGTATAATAGATGATGTTATCTCGAGACTTGTATACTTAAGAGATCAGATATGAATATAATTATGAACTTCATCCTTGATGATTCAAGTCTCGTTAGACGTATTGGATAATCGTGATTATTTATGGTCGAAATAATCCAGTGAGCATATACACTATAAACGAGCTTCACATGATCATGACGAACCTAACCTAAATGAGGTCAGGCACAGGTTAGTAGCCAAGGTCAGCTTTGTCCCGGGTCGTACTATGAACCGTCGTGCATTGATATTTCTTTGCAGAAGCCCATTTCATTTGGTTATTAGGCCCTCCAAATTCAAGTTTCATACGCACATATCTGTAGAGGATCGACAGGTCTAACTCGAGTGATAGCTCAAGGTCTGTAAAAAGCATCGGATTCAGCGAGCGGTGCAATAACCGAAATACGGCGCTATGTATATGGGTTAGTTCAGGCGTATCATGACGATGTCAACTCGGTGCTTACTTCTAGACAACATGCCCATTTCCTCCCACGACCAAGACACTCTCTTAACCTCGTTTAATTACTCTGCTATATGACTGCATCAGTTCCAAGCAGAACCACTCATTATAGAGCAATTAAGTAATGAGATCCGCCACGTTCATCGGCATCTCATCAATTTGAGTCGAGTAATACACTTGTCATCCGTTAGCAAAGCACATTATTTGGTAGAGTGATACTTACGTTCGATATCTCTGAGGATTCGAACATCTTCGCTCGTGACGAAGTTGATTGCGACACCCTTCCTGCCAAAACGACCGCTTCGACCGATACGATGGATGTAATTTTCTCGGTTGCTGGGCAAATCGTAGTTGATCACCAAGCTGACCTGTTGGACGTCGATACCGCGAGCCCAAACATCTGTCGATATTAAAACTCTGCTGTTACCCTGTCTAAAGTCTTGCATAATACTGTCTCGTTCCTTCTGGGGCATGTCCCCATGCATGCTACTGACGGTAAAGTTGGCCTCGCGCATCTTGTCGGTCAGCCAATCTACCTTTCGTCGGGTGTTGCAGAAGATGACGGCTTGGGTAATAGTGAGAGTGTCGTAAAGATCGCATAGCGTATCGAACTTCCAGTCCTCCTTCTCGACAGCAATGAAGTACTGCTTGAGGCCTTCAAGCGTCAACTCGTCACGCTTAACCAGAATACGGACAGGGTCGGTCATAAACTTGGTTGTCATGTCTAGGACATCGTAAGGGAGCGTAGCTGAGACGACAACAACTTGGGTCGCAGGGGGCAGGTATCGATAAACGTCGTAGATCTGCTCACGAAAACCTTGGTTGAGCAACTCATCTGCCTCGTCGAGTACGAGCATCTTGATCTGGCGGGTTCGCAGATGACGGCGGCGAATCATGTCCGCCACGCGACCAGGGGTACCAGAGACAATATGCTGACCATAGTCGAGTTTTCGGATATCCTCCCCGACGTTTGTTCCACCAATACAAGCGTGACACTGGACATTCATGTAGTCACCTAGGGCCATCACGACGGACTGGATCTGAGTGGCGAGTTCGCGGGTCGGGGAAAGGACGAGGGCTTGGGTCTCGCGGATCGCAGTGTCGATAACCTGAAGCATAGAAATGGAAAAGGTAGCAGTCTTTCCGGTGCCAGATTGCGCCTGAGCAATGGTGTCGCGCCCCTTACAGATTTGGACAATAGCTCGAGATTGGACAGCAGAGGGGGACTCGTAGCCATACGCGTAGATACCACGAAGGAGGTTTTCTATATAGAACGACGGTTAATATTTCCCCGATGAGAATAATCAGATGGATGGCCTTACCCTTCAATGACATGGACTCAAAGGTCGGGTGAACTGTGACCTCTTTCGAAGTGGAAAATTCCATCTTCTCGTCGGCGCGACGATCGATACCGCCTCCTTCCGCCATTATGAATATTGGGTATGGTATATGGTATGTGAAATTGATCTAGTCGCGTGGATTTTGATGTAAGGAAACGAAACACGAGCTGATCAATTCGCAGTTGAGGAAATTGAGTTTGATGTTATCCTCAAGAATTTTATGGAGCCTTAGTGCTAAAAACGTACTAAAATATGCAATAGCTAGAGGTGGTTGACCCACTTGAATGCGCTATCTGAATGTACGAAGTACCTATCTTTAGTGCCGTGGCGACGTGAACTTGTGGAACGCGATCTAATTGGCCTTGAACAAATTCAACTTCGATGGAAGCTCTACCGATTTTCGATCAGCCTCTTTTCCCATGTTGAAATTTCCATCTTCCTTTTAGCTCCTAGTAATATTCTTACATCATCGATTCAATCACTACAAAAATTGCAATAGGATTAGCTGAGGTTTACTGAGTTAAGATGCTGTTAGAAGAGCAAAGGTTCTTGCATGAGGACCTGGAACGTCTCGAGCAGGGCGTCGCGGATCGAATTGGCGAGGAACCTAAACATGTTAGTCCCCTAGATTTACACGCGAGTAGTATTTTGCTAACTATATGCTTCAGATACGAGACCGCCTAGCACGAGACCATCAAATAGCACAGTTCCTTGATCGTATATCGTCGCAATCTACCAGACTCCTGACTATCTATCGCGATGTGGATGGAACAAGATCGCGCGAGATCCAACAAATTGGCAGTGGTGATCCGATGGAGGAATTCTATAAGCAGCTAGCCGATATCAAGAGGTTTCATACCAAGTATCCCAACGAACCCGTCGAGAATCTTGAGCGCGCGTACCGACCTAAAAAAGGACCCGATGCCGAATCCGAACCCAGCATTGTAGATACTCTGTTCACCGGCGAGGAAGCATTTGGCCGTTTCTTTGATCTACATATCTGCCACGAGATGTACCTTAACCTCCCCAACGCGAAAAGATTAAGTTATCTCCAATACCTGGACTCGTTTGACAACTTCGCGCCCGGTGCTGGCGGGCTAAAGAGATCCGAGAAGCTGACTGAGCAATACTTCAAATACGTTAGCCAGCTCGCTCTAGATCTTGAGGCCTTCATGAGGAAGACGAGGCCGTTGGAAAATATCGACAAGGTGATTGCCGACTTCGATAAAGAGTTTAATTCTGCTTGGGAGCAGGATGAAATTGCGGACTGGAAGGAAGAGGAGAACGGAAAGCCTAGCAGCGCTGCGGCGCAAGCATCTGCAGCCGAAGCCGTATGGTGCAGCGACTGCGAGAGAGGGTTCAAGAATGAGAACGTATATAAGGGCCATCTTTCGGGCAAGAAACATGTCCGAGCAGCAGCGGAGCGCGCGCAGAGATTACAAGGCGGGTCCGAAGAGGATGGAAGCGAGCCTCACAATACCAGCAAAGGAAATACGTCGACGCAACGACTAAAAGAGCGCGCCATCGCAGAAAGGGAATTCCGAGTAAAGCGCCTCGCCAGTGCGATGAGTACCGAACGAAGCGACACAAAAGTGAATGTCGAACGAAAGCAAGGTATGACAGAACGTGAAAGGCAACAGGAACTAGAGAATTTGTTCAGCGCTACAGCAACTACATCGAACCCCAAAGACACCGAGGATGGAGAGGACAACGACGACGAGGATAAAATTTACAATCCACTTAAGCTGCCACTCGCCTGGGATGGCAAGCCTATTCCATTTTGGCTGTACAAGCTTCACGGTCTCGGTGTCGAGTTTCCCTGTGAGATCTGTGGTAACTTTGTGTATATGGGAAGGAGAGCTTTCGACAAGCACTTCAACGAGGCGCGTCATATCTACGGCCTGAAATGTTTAGGAATCACGAACACGAGCCTCTTCCGAGACATTATAGGAATCGACGAGGCGCTAAGGTTATGGGAGAAGATACAAAAGGAAAAGCGCAAGGACAAGGTGGATGACGGGAGCGTGGTGCAGATGGAAGATGCCGAAGGCAATGTCATGCCGGAGAAGGTCTACTATGATTTGCAGAAGCAGGGTCTGTTGTAAAGTAAGTGTAATGAATAATATTGCTGTGTGGCTGTGTGTTTAGTAATATTGGCGATGCTATCTCTAGTAAGATCGTAGACTATTGAATTGTACATCTATTACTCTTTAGGAAGAAGATGCTTCTGCTGAAGCCTATAGCCATTAGTTTATCGATATCCGTATATTTTGTATCAAGGTACCTAATTGTACATGTTGAATCGGTTGGTTCGTGCAGCTAGGCCAGTACGTAACCCCACACCCCACTAGCTTAAACCTTTAATGTTTTGACTACACTGTGACGTCTTCACGGCTGTACAATATAAATAATGAAGGTTTCTTTGAAATATTCGTAGCATACTTATCGGAGTTTATGACGGCAATAAAATCAGTAGGCACCTCAAAATCATCCATTGAATGGGCTACGTGTGATAGATATGGAACTGGTACCTTGCTACGGGTATCTATCTTATCTCACCACTAGAAATTTGAAGCCTCATTGTTAAGACGCGCCAAACCGAGAAGAAATGTCTACCTTATCGAAACCTATCCCTCCATTATATACCGTCTATATATTACGTTCAACCGTCCGCAATGCCTCGTTATATATTGGCTCGACGCCTAATCCACCACGGCGGCTTAAGCAACACAACGGTGAGGTCAAAGGTGGCGCCGCACGCACGTCGAGGAGGAAACTGAGGCCGTGGGAGATGGTCGGTCTCGTATCAGGCTTCCCTGGAATGGTAGCTGCCTTGAAATTTGAGTATGCAATCCGAGTTAGAGCGTCGTTGCGTTTTCTCATGTGCAAGCTGACCGTTCCCTAGATGGGCTCTTACCAATCCTCACGTATCACTACATATTCCATCTACATCTCGGATATCCACTGCAGCGGGTAAGAAGCGGAATGGCCGTCCTAAGCGTCCACGGCATACCCTAACATCTATACTATCGAACATACATCTTCTCCTACGTGTTCCTAGTTTCTCAAGATGGCCTCTGAATTTACACTTCTTCGCGCCTGAGGTTCACGAAGCTTGGAATAAATGGTGCAATACGGTAGATGAGCCTCTTCGGGATACAATTCGGGTATCGACTGATTTCAACCCGGCGGAAACTAGTCAGGGAAATAGTGAGAGCTCTGATACCGAGAATGAGTTAGAGCGGCTTTGGGGTATCCATGCCCTGCCGCTCGACTACGCCCCGATGAAGACATATGTAATGAAGACACAGTCCATTTATGAATTTGAGAGGGAAGGTGACTGCATAGTCTGCCGAGAGCACCTTGATCCGGGCAAGGGCCTCTACGCAACATGCTCAAATGCTGATTGCGAGGGCACCGGTCACGTATCATGCTGGAGTAGACATCTGCTTGGAAAAGAGGCCGGCGAGGACATCATACCTATATCTGGACGCTGTCCAAGGTGCAAAGGTGAAGTAGTATGGGGTGATCTCATGAAGGAGACGAGCTTGAGGATAAGAGGGGCTAAGGAGATTGAGAAGCTTCTTAAGAAACCTAGAAAACGAAAGACACGAGCTGAGTCTAATATATAAAATTGCAATCCTTTTGATATAGACTTTCGTAGATCCCTCGATTTTTATAGCGAGGCGTTAGGCGTTATTAGATGAGGCCGGGAACGAGTACTTTGTGTTTGTTTATTTTACTTGAATATCAACAGTTTTAAATTTGTAACTGAGGATGAAATTTCATCGTTTCATATGTAGCTGAAATATTATATTCGCACCCTTGATATAATAACCCGAGTGTGTACAACGCGAAAGATACCTCGAATGGGTATTGATGATAGAGGTGCTATCCCCCGCAAAAAGCAGACCCCCTTTTTACCCTTTTATGGTTGACGAGACCCAAAACTGTTCGCTACTCGGCTACGCTGGACCTTTCCCATCTGTGAGTGCTCGCGTGGTATTCCCGTCATGCAGGGCAGGGATCTAGGTCCATATTTTCAAACGTCACTCCTCTACTATTGGTTAGTTAGACGACTCATTGGCCCTGATCCTTGTAAGTTTGTCTGCGAATATCAATTCAATTTTTTCCTTTTTTTCTTTTAAACTGGCGCAGGTTGACCAACCTCGCCGACCAATCCTCCAATAGCGAATCCAAGGAGTTGATTTCGACCTTTCGGACCGTAGAATATCTCGGCTACGACTAGTGCTTAGAATCCCCGCACAACGGGCATTTATCAGATCATTGAAGTGAAATAGGTTTAGCAAGACGAATAATACATCCAAGGAGTATAATAAATGGGCAAAGAAATTAAAAGAGCCAACAGCCACAGAACAAAGCCATCAAGCAAAGTTACGTATTCTCAATAGCTTCGGCGTAATCCGTGCAGCCTCGTTCCAATTCATGGGGAAGCAGATGACATGCTTCCACACTGGGTCCGACTTTTACTTTTTAACCGTCGGCTGCGATGTTTCCTGTTCATCTTGCTTTGGCTTTGAGCGGGCAGTACACCGCGGATCTTTCGGTCCAAGCGATCCCCGACAATTTGATTCCGGTTTGTCTCCGATTTCTACGCTCGATTATAGATCTCACGATCCTGAGATGATATACACCGACAATCTTGGATTATCCAGGCCTAGACCACCTTACCTACTTGATCTATACAAATGGTTTGTCGCACTAATAGCAATAGGTAGATTTAATACCAAGTACATAGGTTTAGATACATAGCCGTATAATTCATAGCGTGACCGCATGTTCGTAGTTTCGGTAACTTGGCCATAGAGTTTGCGCATCGTACCATCCACCCCATCTCTCTTGACTCTTAAGAGTGTCAGCCCGCATTCATTTCTTGCGCATAAGCTATATTGGGCAAAGATGACAGAACTTGCGCCTCGGGACAAGCGCTAATATTCAAGCCTACATAACCTAACCTATATAAAGTTCATAATACCGTCCCTTCGTTATCAAAGCGAAAGTGCGCAACAGGTTATACACACGTACATGGTCGATCTGGCTTGGTTTACGAGGCGGTGGCCCAGATCTCAAGATGTCGTCACATGGTTTGGTTCACTTCGCACTGGGCAAATTTATGCGAAGAGGGAGGGAAATGGATGAGAATTAAAACTTAAAGGCGATGTTATACCTATGTATGTAATTGATGGAATGGAACATTCAAAAGTCTGCTGTTAGGTATATGTACCTCACAAAGCACTATAATATAGCTATACGCCGGTACAAGTACGCACATTCAGCGCGCCGCGGCGTTAGACTTGTAGCGGTATACCTGATGCGGAACCGTATTAGATGGGAACTTCAATGTGTACAAAATGAGGTATATCCGTACCCTGCACAAAAGTACGTACCTGTAGGTACATATGGTGGCTTGGATCCACTTTGTTCTTTAAATGGATCTGGGCACAAAATCCCGACGACAGCTACGAGTCGCATCCACCCACATCATATCCACCTCTGCCTTCTTTCTACGTACGAAGTACTGTTCAAGCCGCGCCTGCGTAACCCCCGTCCCGTTTCTCTCGCCTCTGTTTTAAACGGAGGTTAAGAGGCTTTTGAGTAACCTGACCACCCACGGTTCCACCGTACCAAACAGACCTGACTTGCCCATTTCGCTCCATCCAATCTGCTAGTACGTTTTCCGTTCTACTTACACGACTATTGTTCATACCTTCCACCCATATCTCCATACTTGACATCTCAAAACTAAACTTCCCTCTTCTCAATCTAATATGCAACCTTCCTCGACTTAACCATCCCCCTCTAATTCACACTTATTAGAAAACGAACCCTCTCATTCACCAACTCATTGAGTGTCATATCTGTTCGGCTTTTATTTGGCCTCTAATGATTTCACTAATTTAGCAATTGGGAATATTCGAGGTTGCGCCGTGGCGGTTGAGATGCGATACAGACCAGGACACTAGATCGGCACCACTGTTTTACCTGATTTGTCGTTGATCAAATTAGGATCCCTTGGTTATATTCTGACCAGGTCCCATACTCACCTCACTTCTTGAGCACGCATCGCGGTTTTCTACTACGCCTACACGGTACCGACACCCCACACGATCCGAACGACGATATTTGGTCGAGCAGCATTTCGCCTCTTCGACGCTAACCACCTCCTGCTATCTTCAGCGGTGGCTCCATCACGACCCTAGCAGGACATTCATGCGATGCACGTACAGCTTACCCTTCTTGTGACAGCCTCACACTTCGCACCACTTGGCGGTGGTCGGCATACGTAGCCTACTATTACTTACTCTGGGACTGTTGGGAACATCGTCCAAATCAACCTTCCAGCGTTATTGTACGTCGTGAACCATGGTTTCCACCCCCTCCGTCAGCCATAACGGCGGCGTTGGAGGTGTTAATAGTGCAAATGCAAGCTCGAGAGCTTCGCCTGCAGTCGGCGCCGCCAATTCCGCAGGTCATACCTCGTCATCCAATGGCGCGAAATCCAAGACCCAGGTCAACTCGAATGGCTATCACCCAACCAACCCCCCAGTCCCTCTCAGCTCTATGCGTAGTGCCCCGCTAGACCTTACATCGGTCGAGAGAAGGGGTCAGCCCACGGCCGGCCGGGAGTCATCTAAGCAAAATAGGTTGTACGGGCTCGAGGAAGCACCAACCTACCGACCAACCGAAGAAGAATGGAAAGATCCGTTCGAGTACGTCCGCAAGATCACTCCCGAAGCCCGCAAGTACGGCATCTGCAAGGTCATCCCTCCCGACTCGTGGAACCCCGATTTCGCGATTGATACCGAGGTGAGTCTATAAATATCTCAATCGGTACGATGGGAGCATATTACGGTGGTTTTCCATCTTATAGGGTCTACGTATCTCGGTAGCGTCTCGATTCGTACTGATAGTCTACAGAAATTCCATTTTAGGACACGAAAGCAGGAGTTGAATTCGGTCGACGGCCGTGAGTGATCCGTAACAAGATACTCCGCTGACCTTGTGGCCTTTGTCATTAACATGTAGATGCTAGGTACGCGAGCGAATCTAACCTATCTGGACGCCCTTGCAAAATACCATAAGCAGCAAGGAACCAATCTGAATCGATTACCATACGTGGATAAGAAGCCCCTCGACCTATACAAGCTTAAGAAAGCCGTCGAATCTCGTGGGGGGTTTGAAAAAGTCTGCAAGACAAAGAAATGGGCCGAAATTGGCAGAGATCTAGGCTACAGCGGGAAGATAATGTCGTCACTATCGACGTCTCTCAAGAACTCGTACGATCGATGGCTTACTCCGTACGAGAATTACCTACGCCAAGCAAAACCGGGAGTCTATCAACAGTTGGAGTATGAATATGGCGGGCCATTAACCCCTAGCCCAGCACCCAGTCCGATAAAGAGGTCGGCTATGAATACGCCGTCTAGTCTGCGGGCAGAATCGCCTGCTCGGCACGCGAGCGATATTCTCCAGCAGAGTCTGAATGTCCCGAAGCAAGAAGTTGACCGCGACACCATTATGGCGGATGCGCCGGCCGTTACTTCGCAACCTTCGTCGGGCGGTTTTACGGCTATCAACTCCGGCGGTTTTACGGCGGTGAACAGCGGGTTTACAAGTGTCAATCGACCTACCCCGACGGATCCCAAAGGCTTCACTCCGCCCCCGAAGCATCATGGAAGTCCACATCTATCTGCTAAAAATACCCCAGATTTCCGACCGTCCGGACTCGGCCCCGCCACGGCCCTAAAGCGTCAACTTAGCTCCGACAGCTTAGATTCGGCAAAGAAGGACAACGGTACCGATAGAGACGATTCGGAGAATGGTAGTAGAAGGAGTAAAAGGCTCAAGAAAGGTACGTATTTTCTTGTGGTAGCGACCTCCTTACCGTCCGTAGTTTACTATTCAAATCCTTTCGTACATGGTTCCCTTTTATTTCTATCACTTCACGAGTTTAAACTCGCCCTCTGTATTTTCATGATGATTCACTTCCTTTTGTTGCGTTTACCTTCGGCGTTAGTGTCGTATCATTTCCTTTGTGGTGTGCTCTCCATTAGTGGGGCCGCAATTGTGCAGGGTCTCAATTATGCGCCTTGCCGTGCAGCAATGCACAACAGGGGCGGAGACCTTACAATGGCTGTTCCGGTCCTTTGAAGTCGATGATTGGTTCGATCGCTTGTGAAACTAATGCAGGTCGGCCTCTAGAAAACGTCCCTACCGTGGCTGGTTCGCATATGTCAGTATTCCGACCTTCGGCTCCTAGAATACCAGTCTCCCGGGACGAATCGTCAAGTCCTAGCGAGGTAAGAATTTTTCCCTTCTACTTTCGTAGTGCGTAGTATTTTGTTGACCGTATAGAAATGCGAGGTATGTGGCAAAGGTGACGAGGCGGGCCATATAGCCGTGTGCGAATCCTGCGACCATGGATATCACGGTGCTTGTTTAGACCCCCCTATCAAGCATAAACCGGATGCCGAGTGGAATTGTCATCGATGTCTCGTCGGCGACGGCCAATTCGGGTTCGAAGAAGGCGGATTATACTCGCTCAAGCAATTCCAAGAGAAGGCTGCGGATTTCAAACAAGCATACTTCGAGAACCGCATGCCCTACGACCCCGTACTCAAATGCTCAAGACCGGTAACGGAAGACGACGTGGAAAAGGAATTCTGGAGGCTCGTCACCAGCACCGAGGAAACAGTCGAGGTAGAATACGGT